CACGTGCGCACGAGCTCCCTCCTTTCCCCGCCCCCCTTCCTCCTACGCCCGCTTCCCGATTGGCCCCCAGCTCTGCGCACGTGCATGCCAGGACGTTGGCGGAGCGGCCCATCTGCTAGAAGATAACGCAGGTGTCCTATCGTGTGGAGCAAAAGGGCAAAAACTCATTTGATTTTGATTTCCAGTACGAATACAAACTGTGAGAGCTATCGATCCTGCAGCGTTTCAGGACTTCAAGCTACAGGCGTCAGAAAAGTTACCACACGGATAACTCGTTCGTGACGGCCATCATCATCATCATCATCAGTGACACTCATCATCACGGTTCTTCATCATCTGTCCATGCTATCTAGCCGGCGACCTTGTCGTTCCACCGGGGGAACGATCGAGAAGACCCTTTAGGGGTAGTTGAAGACCTTCCTCGACTAGGAGGAAGGACCTTAACTGCTCCTGGCCGACCGGGAGCGCGGTATTGTCAATCTATCTCCCTCCTACTAATTCCCTCCCTTCCTCTCCCCGGCCTCTCTAAAAAATCTCACCTTTTTCCCCATCTTTTATCTCTCCTCCAACACCCCTTCTCTCCTCCACTCACCCACCTAATTGGTTGCATCATCCAAAATTCCTACTACGTGTGTCACGTATCTTCCGTCTTTGTGCTTGCCTGACAATGCCGTCCATTCGGCCGTTCAAAATTTCAATCTGATTTGATAGGATTAATCTCCACCTTCTTTCCTCCCAACGCCGGAATCAGAATTAAATTCGGCAGAGTCTTGTTCAAAAGTTATGCAAATTTCTATAGTCTCTTGATTCTTTTCGTTATTTAATTTCAAAAATTCAAATTTGATTCCAGAAATTCGTGAAATAAATTTTGGAATTTACTACAAAGAATTCTTCCAATGTCAAACTTTCCTTCTATTTTCTATCTCCCGTAAAATTCTGGAATTCCTCCGTTGTTTTTGAAATTCCTTTGAAATTTCTTCGAAACTCATTTTAATCTTGAAACGAGTCAAGAAATTTTATTCATTTGATCTACACAATCCTGGAATTCCTCTCAACTTACTTTATGCAGCTACCACTAATTCTCTCTGAAACTTCATCGTAAGTTCTTAATTTAGAAATTAGTTTTCTACCTTTATTCCAAATTGCCTTTGAAATTCTTTTAATTCCGAAAATACGTTGAGAAATTTTCCATTTTATTTCAAATTTTTCCTATCAACTCATCTCTACATCTTTCATCACCTCCTTGAACTTTCGAAAATTTTACGAATGTTTTTAAAATTCCTTGAATTTTACTTCAATTTTTTTTTAATTTCGAAAATACGTCCAAATATTTTCGGAATTTTATTTTGAATTTGCGATCGTCTTATGCATGCTCCCGTCTAGACCCCAGACTATTCTTTGAAAATTTCCTCTCTTATCTTCCCCGAATTGGAAATTCTCCTCTTTTTCCCTCAATCCGACTTTGAATTTCCTTGATTTAATTTTGGACGTTTGTCAGACCTCGTTTATACTCACCTTCCTCTCGCAGTCCCTTACTCCTCTTTCTGCATACCAACCTGGCTCCCCGTGACACCCATCAGTGCGTACTCCAAAATCGCGCCTGAGACGCTCGTGCCGCAAACCGACTCGCTTGCTTTGACGCACCGATTGCTGCCACTGAGCACCCTCCCCGCCCCAGTTCTCCCTCCTCACCTCCTCCATCCCCTGACCCCATGCAAACCACCGAATTTGCGAGCCCCTCCCGCTCCACCAGCGAAGGACTTGCATTCCTAGCCCACGAGCATACATCAGACTCAATGGCCATCCCTATGGCAACCAGTTCGGGCCCAACTCCCCAGTTGGATCCCATAGTGGACCTCCTGGCCAGACCCGAGGCCAAAATCACGGCCCTCCATACCGACTTTTCATCCTTGTCGACCCGTGTGTCACAGTTGGAGCCCCCTACCAGTTCATCCCCCCCCCCCCCCCCCCCCCCATCTGCTTCTTTGCCAGCTTCCTCTCCTTCTTCGGCAGGCGTCATCTACACACTTGCTTCTTCCACCGACTGTATGTCCTCATCCCATCCCCACCCTTCCTCTGCAGCCATATCTGCCTCTCAGGTATCTACACCTGCACCTCCCTCCTCAGGACGCATGGCATCATGTCCCGCCACCTCCTCGACGGTAGTCTCCACGGCACCTCCCTCATCATCCCCCGCTTCTTCCCCCCTTCCCCCMCCCCCCCCCACACCCAGGACACAGAATGCCGAGCTCCAACGCCAGCTCACCCTGGCCCATGATCACATCCGCCTACTCCAAGGAGGTCAACCCCTACCTCCCCACCTCGCGGCACAGCCTGCTGCCCCTTTCATCTATCGACAGCATCAGACACAGGCCGCTGCGATGCATTTCACACTCCCACCACCAGCCACCACGATGTGTTAGGGACCGTTGCCCCGGCTCCCCGCTCTTTCTAGTGGTTCTGCCGGTGCCACTACTTCTTCTGTCCTCTTGTCACAGTGTGCCCTCCCCCTCCCTCCCCATTACCAGGCCCCGCCTTATGTACCTCGGTACCACCCCGACAGAGTCCCCCAGTTCGATGGTAAGGCCTCTGAACTCCAGGGCTGGATCACCACAGCCGAGGAGCAACTTCGGTACCATGGGGTAAACATGGACTTGTGGCCTACGGAGATGTCTGCCCGCTTCATCGGTCGAGCGACTTCCATTTGGCGCGACTTTCTCGCCCTTCGTACTCAGCAGGGCGTTCACGCGAGTATGACGTACGCGGAGTTTCGTGATTTTCTCCAGCAGTACTTCTCTCGCCCGACGCCTACCCGTGACCCGATCACACGGATCGCTGAGATCAGATGGCTTGGTGGCAACAATGCCTTAAGAGTCGTACATGACGACATTCCACCGCGTTCCCGGGCAGATCCCCCCCTCCCTCATAGCCGGCGACGCTTTGGTCGAGCGTTTCCGTGCCGGGTTACCCCAACCCTTCCAACTTCAGATGTTGGCATACACGGTCCATACCCTCCCCGGGGCCTTCAACATTGCCAAGGCCATCGAGCTCACCTATGCACCTCTTGTGGGCTCCACAGCTGGGTCTGGTGCCGCACCTCCCGCTTCATCATCTGCCCCTGGCACATCTCGCCCCCGCCAATTCTCCACGTCTCGCCGAGGTCCGCACCGAGTTCCTGGACGTGCCTTCTTCCGCCGTGTCCAGACTATGCTCCGCGAGTCGTCGAGCGCTAAGGAGGGTACTGGTTCGGATGGATCCCATAGCGACCCGGACCAGGAACTTGATCCCCAGTCCCTTGTGGATGGCGATGACCCCGACCAGGACGAGCACCTCGCCCGCTCCTTCTCTGCCTTCCTGAGGCAGCGCCAGCCCTCCTCATCGAGGACCCGCTATTCCGCCACACAGCTGCCCCTCCTATCGGGTTACGCCTTTCCCCGCGCCCAATTGACTATCGCGGAGAGTGAGGACTTCCGTGCACGAGGTATATGTACCCGTTGTCGCCTACCTGGTCACACTCCGTCCACCTGCCCCTACGCCGACGCCCTCTAGCGTCACTTTGCTCAGCAGTCCCGCCCTCAGCCTGACCCCCCCATTTCGACCTCCAGCTCCGCAGCCACCTAGCGGCAATCTCCCGCCCCGCTGACCCTCCCACAGTATCAGGCATACCCGCCCGCGATTTTACCTTCGCGCCGCTTGCTACTCTTTTTGAGGACTCAGATCTGACTTCATCGTTTGTCGCTTCTAGCGTCGTTGGCCCACTCTCCAGTGCCTCCACTTCTTCGCCTAGCGTCTCTCATGATCCTCCTCCTCCTCGTCCTCCTACGAAGCGTGCTATTCGCACGGCGCGCTGCAGTGCTTCCCTTATTGCAGCCGAGGATATCATCAACTTCCTGGATCTTGAGTGTGTTAAGGTCCACCAGGAACGTCTCCGCCTTAAAGAGCGCACCTTGTTTGCGATGTCTAAGCGCCTACACAATCCCGATCGCACCTTACCGATTATTCCAGTGCGCCTCGGGACCTCTACTAGAGTGTATCGCGCACTATGGGACTCTGGCTCTACTGGTGACTTCATTCATCCTCGCGTAGTTAAGGAGGCATCTCTCTATATATCTTCCTACCCTTCCACTGTCACTGTCACGCTTGGCGACAATCAGGCCAAATCCTTCGTCGATTTAGTGGTGCCTGATCTTCCATTCTCCTTCCCCCTGCGGATGCCCCACAGCCTTCGCAAGGCCCCTCGGTTCCATGACAAGTGGACCTTCGATGTCATGAAAACCCTATATGATCTTGTTCTTGGCACTGCCTATTCCCATCACTTTGCCCATACTGGCCCCGATTGGACCAACAACGACCTCGTCCTCGACACCAAGGACGGGAAACAATACCGTATTCCGTTGTTGGGCAAATCGGACTTTACATCCCCCTCTTCTGTCAATGTTGCCATCTTGACACCAACTCAGTTTCACCACATCCTTCGTCAGCCTGATGCCGAACTCTACATTGTCGACATCACGGATCTCCTTGTCTGTAACTCGATGCATCAGGACGCTGAGTTGGTCGAGCTCGACCCACCACTCCCTGAGCCCCCCAAGCCTCCTCATCCTTCAGCCCCCTCATCCCCCTTCACCCGTGCTAGCTCATCTCATCTTCTTGCATCTTGCACCACGGAGGCGCCATCGGTACCTATTCCCATACCGACTCCTTCCACCCCTGCTTCAGACGCCGCTGCAGCCAAGGAGTTTGACAACCTCCTATCGACTTTGCAACCTCGCGTTGCGGCCCTCCTTCGCGAGTATCGCGATGTTTTCCCTCCGACTGTCTCTTATAGCAGCATCCCTCCTATGCGCGATATCGAGCACCACATCCGGCTCGAACCTAACTACCGTATTCAGCATCGCGCCCCATATCGCCTCTCGGTTCCCGAAGCCCAGGAACTTAAACGCCAAATTGACGAGGTACTCCGCCAGGGCTTCATCAAACCGAGTACGTCCCCATGGAGTGCACCTGTCCTGTTCGATCGCAAGAAGGACGACACTCTCCGCCTCTGACTCGATTACCGCGGTCTCAACGAATATACGGTCAGAAACAGTTATCCTATGCCCCGTGCGGATGATCTGTTCGACCGCCTCTCCGACCACCACTTCTTCATGAAGATCGATCTTCGTAGCGAATATCACCAGATCCGCGTAGCCGAGGAGGACCATCCTAAGACCGCTTTCCATTCTCGTTTTGGGCACTACGAGTTTACCGTCATGCCTTTCGGTCTCCGTAATGGCCCTGCCACCTTCCAGACGGCTATGAACACGATGTTCCAAGACCTTCTTGAGAACTCGGTTCTAGTCTACATCGACGACATCCTGGTCTACAGTCGTACCTTAGAGGAGCATCTGACCCACCTTCGCACTGTCCTCCAGCGATTACGCGACCATGGGTTTTATGCGAAGCTCTCCAAATGCCACTTCGCTCAACCCAAAGTCGACTTTCTTGGGCATCAGGTCTCCGAGCACGGACTGCACATGGACAACTCGAAGATTCAAGTCATTGTCGACTGGCCCACTCCTACCTCTCTTCCTGCGCTGCGTAGTTTCCTTGGGTTGACCAACTACTATCGTCATTTTCTTAAAAACTACGCGTAGTACTCTTCCCAGCTTACCCCTCTGACTCGCGGACGTCTGCCTTTTCATTGGACCCCGACTCACGAGGATGCTTTCCGCTGTCTCAAGCGGCTTGTCACGTCAGCTCCTGTCTTACATTTACCCGACTACTCGCGCTCATTCATCGTCACCACCGACGCATCCGACTTCGCTATTGGAGCTGTCCTCTCCCAGATCTATCCAGCCCCCTCTACTTCTCCCGATTCCACAGAGTCCTGCCTCCCTCGCATTCCTCGCTTCCCTTCTCCACCTCCAGCGACCGCGGCTCATCTTGCACCCATCGAGCCCACCCCCCTAGGGGCCCCACCCCCTTATATTCCTGACGTCGCTGTTGAAGGTACAGCCGAGTCTCGCAATGGAGAGTGTCCGGTTGCTTATCTATCTCGACAGCTCGTTCCCGCTGAGCGTAACTACACTGATGACGAGTGTGAGGTCCTTGCGCTGGTCTACGCTGTTAAGAAGTGACATCATCATTTGCACGGTCATGCTTTCACCGTTTTGACAGACAACTTTGTCCTCGCCGCCTTCCAGACGAAGCCTAAGCTCACTTCTCGCCAGGCTCGTTGATGGCGTGACCTCTCGGAATTCGACTTCACTATCAAGAAGATCTCTGGCGAAAGCAATCGTGTTGCAGATGCCTTATCCCGCCGCCCCGACCTTCAGCGCGAGGATCGTCAGCTATCTGCTATCTCAGCTCCCACCATCCACCCCGCCTTTGTAGATGAGTATCATCGCGCATACACCCAGTGCCCTGAGTTTCAGTCCATTTACGCTGACCTACAGGCTGGCAAGTCCGTCCCTAACTTCCAGCTTGATCCCTGTGGACTCCTATATTGGCTTGGTCGCCAAGGTAACCGTACTCCTCCCTTATGTGTGCCCTCTACTGGCCAGCTCCGCTTGCGGGCTGTCACTGAGTGTCATGACCAGCGCGCCGCCGGTCATCTCGGTGTCTTCAAGACACTTGACCGCCTCTACCGCCATTACTACTGGGAGCACCGTCGTCCTTTCACTAAGGAGCACGTCCGCACCTGCAGGATCTTCCAGGAAGCCAACATTCCCAACCACCCCCCCTATGGTCTTCTCCAGCCCTTACCCATTCCTACTCAGCGTTGGACTTCTGTCTCCACGGACTTCATTGGCCCTCTTCGTCCCCCTACCCCACGAGCCCATGACGCCATCTTCATCGTTGTCTGTCGGTTGACTAAGCATGCTCACTTCCTCCCATGCAAGTATGCTAGCTCAACCAAAGACATCGCCTCCCTATACTTCAACCGTATCGCCATCCATCACGGTCTTCCCACTAGCATCGTCTCTGATCGCGATCCCCGCTTTACTTCTCATTTCTGGCGTAGACTTCATGAGATTTATGGCTCCGAGCTCCGCCTCTCCTCCTCCTATCACCCCCAGTCAGATGGACAGACCGAGGTCACCAACAAAACTCTTGGGAGTATCCTCAAGAAGTTTGTTGAGAATGACTCTGATTGGGATCTGCATCTTGCTCGCGCAGAGATTGCTTATAACCATGCTATTTTACCTGCCACTAGCATGTCTCCGTACTACTGTGACTTAGGATACCATCCTCGTGTTCCATCTGACCTCCTCCGTCCATCTCAGATCCATCCCGACACCAAATGCCCCGCCCTCGATGACTGGGTAAAGGAGATGGATGCGCTTCTTAGCAAGGCTCGCGAGAACATTGCTCACTCCCAGACTCGCATGGCCACTCGCGCTAACCTCTCTCGCATCGACCATCCCTTCAAAGTTGGCAACGAGGTTCTTGTCAACACACGTCACTTCCAGCCCGAAGCTGACACACTTCGAAAATTCAGACGTCGATATATTGGACCATGCACCATTCTTGCACTTGCCTTACCCAATCATGACTGTCCGGTGAGCTTTAAATTGAAGCTCCCCGATTCCATGTATCGCGCTAACTTACATGATGTGTTTCATGTATCTCTTTTGCGCCCCTTCAGACGGTCTCCCCTCGAGTTCCACGGTCGACCTTACCCTCGCCCCTCTCCCATCATCATTAAGGGTCGCGAGGAGTTTGTCGTCTCTGATATTGCGTCCCGGCGTATGACTGATGGTGACCCTCCCCGCCTCGAGTATCTTGTTCGATGGAAGGGTTATCCTGACGAGGAATCTACTTGGGAGCCTCTTGAGCACCTGAAGCATGCTATGACTTTCGTGCGTGCTTACGATCGTGCTCATCCTTTCCCTTCATCATCCTCCCCTCCTACTTCTCATTCTTCTACTACTGACCCTTCTACCTCTGCGACCACTAACATTCCCCCTCCTCCATCGATGGGTCCGCCTGCTCCACCGGTACCCGCCTCAGGTCCTCCTTCCCCTGTGGCTGTGGTTCCGCCTGTTGTTGCAGTTCATTCCTCTCGCCCTCAGCGTACCCATCGACTTCCTTCTCGTTTTCGTGACTGATCTATATCCCCCATACGCTTTCTGTCTTTTACCATTTCTGGACACTTATGCAGCAGCTCCCGGTTTCAGCTTCTACATTCGGCTTCTACATTCAACTTCTACATTCAACTTCTACATTCGGCTCCTACATTCGGTTTCTACTTCGGCTTCTACATTCGACTTTTGACCTCAGCGCTTCTCCTCAGTACCAGAGTACCTGTCGCATTGTTCCGGACTTCTACTCGGTTCTTGCGATACTCCTACTTCATCCAGGCTACTTCGGTTTGACTTCAGTCTGGAGACCCATCAGTTGGACTACTTCACTTGTTTGGCTATAGAGTCCCCATTATTCCCACCTATCCACCACCCTCGAGCTTACCCTTCAGTCGCATGATGACCCCTATTTTCCCTGTCTATATGGGTGTGTCCGCTTGCCGCCTTTCTGCCTTACCTTATGTTGAGAGCCCTCCTCCGCAGTGTATGATTTCTTTGCTCGTGGCTTCTGGCCACATGTCTATGCCGGCATATCCCTCTCTCCTTACAGGCTCACCTTATGTGTGCTCCCTTGTGTGAGTGCCCTTCCCCGCTTTCAGCTGGCGGTACCCGTTTGATGGTTTCCATTGAGCCCAGTGTCGTGTTGTTACTCTCCCCCTGAGCCTTACCTGGTTGTGTGGGTGCCCCCTTGGAGTTTACTCTGAGAGTTGTACCTGCCGCCTTCCCACCCATTCCTACCTCTGCCATGCGACTGAGTTCTCTTCTCCTTTGATCAGGTATTGTGCATTGTGTAGGCACGAGAGACTGTGCCACATTGGTTTTCGACTTAGGACATTGGTTTAGTTATTCTTTGGCCTTTAGGGCCCTGGGGTTGATTTGTATTCAGCCTGTTTGGTTCATGAGACATTTTTCTCCTTCTTGGCCGACACATGTCGGACATTTTTCTACTTTTTTGGGTCGACACAGACCAGACATTGTTGTATAGATTAGGCTTGAGGATGAGTTTGCATTGCATCCCTTTTCCTGCATGGAGCCTGCTCCGCATCTAGGATTGTTTCTTTTGCCGTTCCTTTTGGGTTTTCGCTATTTCAGCGGATAGCGTGTTTGATGTATCGCTTGATCCATTCACAGGTCCGAGGATCGTGGAGCAGTACCCCTACGGCCCGGCAGTGAGGCCGGACCAGTTTCAGGCCGTCGGCCTGACCCTGCTCCGGTACCAGGTTGTTCCGTACCTGAACCTAGGCCGGTATATCACTTCGGCCTAGGCCCAGGGCGGCAGGTTCATTTTCATTCAGTTGTACGTTCGTTCATGGAGCCGGACTGGACCTTCACTCAGCTGCTGCTTCTTGTGTGTGTCCATCTCCTCTCTCTCTCTCTCTCTCACCATCTCCGCACGTGCCCTCCACACGTGCGTCACACAACACTAAATCAAGACATGTCCGAAGCCCTCACCCGCGCCATGCAAGCTTTTCAGCT